ATCCCAGAACATCTCATTGTCCTTATGAGAAACTTATATACAGGTCAGGAAGCCACAGTATGGACAGAACTTGGTGAAGCAAACTGGCTCCAGGTCGGCAAAGGAGTGGGACTCCTCTACTCTCCCCTTATTTATTCAACCTATATGCTGGATATATATTAAGGGAAGCTGGATTGGAAGATGAGCATGGTTTTAAAACTGAAGGAAGAAACACCAATAACCTGCACTATGCTGATGACAATACCCTGATAGCAAAGAAAACAAACTGATGGATCACTGAACAAATCAACCCAGAGTTCTCACTCGAGCCACAAATGACCAGGCTCAAATTATCCTACTTTGGACACATTATGTGAGGATAAAGCTCTCTGGAAAAGGTGCTAATGCTAGGAAAGGTAGAAGAGGATGACCAGCAGCAAGGTGGATGGACTCCATTACAGTGGCAATGAGTGCACCGTTGGGAGACTTGAAAGAACAGGATAGGGATAGACTATTATGGAGAAAATCTATATATGTGGTTGCTAGGAGTTGAAAATGACTTGATAGCACATAATCAATCAAATCAATATAGTAAAGTAACTGAAGATAGATAAAAATAGCTAATGTAAAATACAAAATCACTATATAATTAAAATCTACAATAAACTGTATTTAATATTAATATTTTAATTAGCAGAAATATAATAGTGTGGTATAAAATACAACAGTTTATAAAATAATAATAATAACTTTAAAAGCTAAAGAGCTAAAAAGGACCAAATGCAGTGGCTGGTTCTCTGCATTATTAAGGGGGATCTCTAGCAATTACTCCTGGTGAGCATCAGCATAGAAAGGACACTACAATACAACATGATCCAACATTTCAACTACTCCTCCTTGTTATGGGCAGAGTCTCAGCAGGAATGGGATGTTTCAATCTCTCCCCTCAGTAACAGTTCTTGGGAGAGCATTAAATCTGGCCAAGGATAAAGCCATTCTGAATTTGGGGACTGTTCTGCAGCTGAAGTACCTAGCAGGGTGGAATAAATAAGCAGCTCAAAAATCTTTGCAGCAAAACCTGGCAGGTCCCTTTGTATCTCCACGTCAGTAGCACACTGCTTGAGATTGTTCCACAGATGTTCAGGGCCTACCAGGGAGATTGTGGCCCATGAAAAGCCAAAAAATTATAATTTCTCATGAAGCGCCTGGCTCTGGGAAGACTTAAAGGTGTCAACCAAGATTAGAGAACCCAAACCACCTGGGGAAAAAAGTAGCTTAAGCCAGTAAGGAAAGACCTAATTAGAGGCAGATGTTTCAATTGTAAGTAAACCGACTTCATGGTACAGCATCACATTAGGATATGCAGCAAGAAGCTTCAAAGATGGATTTTGTATATTTCAAGGGAAAGGAATGATCTGTAAGGGCCCAACTGAACTTCCAAAGCACCTGACACATTAAGCACCTGATACACTGATGGTTTTTAGCTTTCATTTATGCAACTGAATAGGCCCTTTTTCTGAACATCCACTGCCATACTCAGCTCATTTTAAGTATTTCTGACACCATCTCTGCAACTCCAGACTGTTTGACTGTACTCTTCTTTGGGGATCTCTCCCTCTTTTCTCCTGTTTCACATATCTTTCAGTGATTCCATTTCACCAATTTCCTTTACTGCCATCTTTCTTTCCTTATAGGAACTGCTTGTCAGTGTATATTTAGGTCATCTTAGGCCTCAATAAATTACAGCAGCTACCAATTTAGGCTGATTTCAGGAGCCAAGCAAGGCCACCAAGACTTGGATTACCTGGAACATTAGTGCTGCAGGCTGGAAGAAAAAATAAATCAGAAAACATGTTCGGTAATGCTTCCAAGAATGACTAGATGGAGGAAGTCATAAAGGTCAAACTCAGCTCTAGCTTCTCCTCTCTTGCGTGCATCTCATTAAAAGTCTACTCAAAATACAGCTTTACTTGTTAGATGAACAAATCAGAAATATTATTTTGCACTATGATTCCTTTTCACGCAACAAAAGGAGCCTATGCTTT